CCCCAAAACCCCAAAACCCCAAAACCCCAATCCCCAAAACCCCAAAACCCCAAAACCCCAAGTGAGATTAGAGTTATTGAACTTTTATTATCTATAAATGGCTGGAACTAAATCCAAGTTCATATCATGCTTAATGAATATTCTTTCAAAATCTTCTGCAGGAACACATGAACATAGGAAGATAAGTACACTCATAGATCTCTTTAGGTCTACTGAATGTGAAAGGGCTTGGATCAAGTGCTCAAATTCTTGGAGATTTTCTCCCCAATTGCTGAACTGAGGCCTTCCACATGAGTTAAAGTTCAGTTTTGTAATTTTTCATCCTGAGAGAGGTTTCGATAGATCCAGAGGAGTTTCTATGTGGATCTTACAAGAATTAAACTCAAGTTCAGGTTTATCTCTTCAGGAAGAAAATATTTTTCGAAATTGGCTTTGAGAGATTTCAAACTTATATAGATTCACATGGTTTTGCACTATTGGGAATACCTTGATAAGTTCTGAGAAATATTTATTTAAAGTCATCTTTCTTGCGTCTTCTGGTCTGAAATTATAATTTTCAAGCCAAAGCTCATTAATTTTTGGAGGAAAAATATCTTTTATAAATTTCTTGTTAACCCAAGGTTTATTTGTTGAAAGCAATATTCATAGAGTTGCAATCTGGGAGTCTTTGAGTATTTAAAGCTTTACATAATAAATAGCCTTCAGGTTCATTCAAATCAAGAAATAAATCTGTGGGTAATTTATCATAATGTAAAAACCCTTCAATCGTTACTTTATTTTAAACAAACTAATGAGGAATGAAGGCTATTAAATGCTTCATTGACCTCTGCTTCTTGGACCTTTAAACCTTGGAGCATAATTTTTGATATCATTACTTTTTGAGATTTAACTTGGTTCTTTAAGGCTAAAATTTGGTCAGTCGATCAATGGTTCCTTTCTATATTCATATATCCCACCTTTGGGCTAGCCATTCAGTGCAGAATTTATTAAAGCCTTTATCTTGGATGAGACCACTGAGTAGCTTTTCGCTGACTCCCTTTTGTTGCATCACAGCTAAGGTCCTTGTGACAATATCCTCATGTTTATCGGGTCCAAAACTGAGAGTTTCCATATTTGTTCAATTAATTATTTTTCTTATGGGGTTTTGGGGTTTTGGGGTTTTGGGGTTTTGGGGTTTTGGGG